TGGGAGGGGGGATCGGGATGGGGAATACATGTAAATCCATGGCTGATTCATGTCAATGTATGACAAAAACCACTACAATATTGTAAAGTAATTAGCCTCCAACTAATAAAAATAAATGGAAAAAAATAAAAGAGAAACAAGTACCAAAAAAAAAGAATGTGGTGAAACATTACTATGGTAAAGGAAGCCAGTGTGCTCCAGGATATTGTTTCTTAGGGAAACAGGATAATGAAATGACTTTCATGATAGTGGTATGTGATAGTAGCCAACATTCATGGAGCACTTGTTATATATGTACTTAGAATTTTGCATGACTTATTTTACTTAAGTTTTTAAAAATGGATAAGAATGGATATTAGACTATTTTGAGAGGTTGTTTGCAACATATGTATCTTTTATCTTGCTAATCATTCTAACCAAGAGCTATGTACCATCTTTTTTGTTCATTCATTTCAATAGTTGTTGAGTTCTTTTAATGTTCCAAGAACAGTTTTAGGGGCTAGGTGCTGGAGATATAGCATTGAATGAATAAAATGCTTTTATCTTAGGGCTTACCTTTTTGGAGAGGAAAGAGAATAAGATAGATGTTAGATAAACAGGTTAAAATTTTAGGAATAAATCTAGCTCTTAAAATCAATGGCAGCCACCCTTCTAGTATCACTATGTATCATGAACATTTCATATATTAACTAATATTATAAAGTAAATTTATTTTTGATTCAGCAAATATTAAACTCCAACTATATATGACATATTGGATAAATGACAGTAAACAAACAAGAAACTGAGTCTCAGAAAGGACAGTAATTTGTCCAAGATCCAAGTAATTGGTAAATCGCAAAACTGGGATTTTGAAAAAAGTATGTGAAGCTAGTGAAATAATCTTGGTCCACAAACAAGTGCCATAGCAGAAAAGAAGTCAGATTCTTTTTGAAAGTAAAGATTCTTTTTGAAGCTAAAGATTCATTTTGGTAAACTTGAATTTGAGATATTATACCCACAATGTGAAACTGTCAAGTAGACAAGTGAATTTACAAGTCTGAAATAAAGGAGAACAACTTGTGCTAGAGATAAATATTTGAAGGCTGACAGCATACAGGTAGATAATGTAATATTGATTGTGGCAAAGCTCATATGCTATAGATTGCTGGCATTCAATTAGCAAAGTTGTCACTAGGTTATAAAAAGTGAAGATCTTGACCTTTTCTCAGATTCAGAGGATAGAAGTTCAGGTGATTTTGTGATGAGACATGGTTTATGGTAAGCCTCATGGACAACAAAACTTAGGCGTTTTTTTGGTTTTACTTTTTAAATTGTATTTGTTTAGAAGCTTTGACTGTCTTTAAATACTTGGAGAAACATTCAGCTGAGATGCAAAGTTGTATGTCATAAAGCAGTGGTTCTTAAATGATAATGTACATAAGAAAAACCTATGGATCAAAGCTAGTTAAAAATTCGATTCCTAGGGCTCATTCCTAGAAACACTTATTCAGTGGAATATGAATGGGGACGAGGGATTTTTTTAAGCTTACTGGATAAATCTGATGTAAAGTTTATAGACCTCACTTTGAAAAATTCTGCTACTGCTCACTGAACAAATTGTTTTGTCTTAGTATTGTAAAGATAGCTGCTCTTGGTGCATCTGCCCAGCAATCATTAAACCAAATAGGAGTTTTTTCAGTTCTGGTGATGTGAGACAGGTAGGTTATTGACCCTTTACCCGTAGTGCAAGTTAATTAACAAGGTTCTTTTCTTTTCCTTAATTACTTTAACAGTGTTCCTAAGAACAGGTTGATAGTGAAGGACAGCATTTAAGAATAGTAGGTGATGAAATGGGAGACAGTAAATAAAGGGAACCTAAAGGCTTTGCCCACTGGAGTCTGTCATCCCAAGTACACGATAATGCTAAATTCACACCAACACTCAAATTTGTGATTTATTTGTTCATTCAGCAGACGGTAAGAACTATGACCAGGCACCATGGTGGACCGTGGACTCTAGTCACTGGATTCCTCTCAGAGACCACCCCATTGGATAAGAGGAACAGTCCAAAAGCAGGTAGGGAAGATTTCCATTCTGACACAAACTCATGAGTACACCACAGTCCAACTCTGTGTTGAGGCCCCGTGTGAACATCTCCGTTCCACCACCACCCACCACCCCCTGCGCATGATGGCGGTTGTTCAGTTGCTAAGCCATGTGCGATATCCCTGGACAATACCAAAGCTGGGTAGAAACAATAACCCTGGATGCTGAAATCTGAGATTTCCACGTGCAACTGAAGCAATGAGAAGGCTGGTTTAATCTAACGGGCCCTGTTTGTTGAATTTTCATTTTTCTATTGTCCAATACTTCCTGAATTCCTTGGAGCAGGTCCCATAAACCCTCAAGCCTGCTTCTCCAAGCAATGTAATGGGATTCACTAATACTACTGTATTTCAGAGTAGTAGCTCATCCAAAGTGTGTTGAACTCCTTATAGTTGTTAACTGCTAACAGAAATCAGATTAAGGTAAAATGAATGGAAGGGAGTCTACATTTTACTATCTTGAGCATTTATTTTAGATCTGTAGATAGAGCCTGCTTAGAGCCCAGCACTGTTTTTTGTTTGTTTTTTTTTTTCTAAAAAGGTTGAACTATTTCCATCATGTTTCTCTAATTTTTCTTGACTATCAAGAAATTTTAAAATATTTTATGTTCGTTTCTAACAGTTTTCTTAAGTCTAACTTCTCTGAACAGTTATTTTCCTCATCATGTGCCTTTTTATTCAGTTTTTATTGCTCTTTGTGATGATGTTTGGGACCTTTTTGTATTTCTGTGTTTTATTAAAGTTCTCCTAGATCCCTTTTAGACACACGAGAGTATAACTGGATGGTAATATGATTGGTACTTGAATATCAAAGTGAGACAATTGTCACTGCAAATATGCAGAATTTATAAAAAGAATGAAGGTAAGCTCCTTGCGCCACTCCTCTTAGACACTTTAGGCAGATCAAGGATGTAAATGAGGTCAGAGTCAGGAGGAGAGATTATGATAAAATTTATAAAGAGGAAGTGATAAAAATAGCTATCATCGAAAGACCACAAATAACAAACGTTGGCAAGGATGTGGAGAAAAAGAACCTTCCTACATTGTTGGTGGGAATCTAAATTGGTGCAGCCACTATGGTGAACAGTATGGGGTTCCTCAAAAACATAAACATAGAACTATAGTATGATCCAGCAATCCCTCTCCTAGGTATACATCCAAAGAATCAAAAACACTAATTTGGAGTGCATGTATTATTTCAATGTTCATAGCAGCATTATTTACAACAGCCAAGCCATGGAAGTGACTCAAATGGATCCACCAATGGATAAATGGATAAAACTGTGAATTATATATAGTGAAATATTACTCAGATGTCAAAAAGAATTAAATAGTGCCATTTGAAATAACATAGACCATGATCCTTAGTGAAATAAGTCAGAAAGACAAATACTGTATGTTATCATTTATATATAAAATCTAAAAAAAAGCAAATGAATAAACAGGAATAGACTCGCAAATATGGAGAACAAACTAGTGGTTACCAATAAGAAGAGGGAAGGAAGGGCAAGAGAGAAGTACCAGATTAACAGTACAAATTACCATGTAAAAAATAAATAAGCTACCAGGATACATTGTACAGCACAGGGGATTTAGCCAATATATCTTTCAGTGGACTATAATTTACAAAAATTTTGAATCACTATGTTGTTCACCTTAAAGTAACACAGTAAATCAAACTATCTCAAGTAGAAAACTTTAAAAAAAATAAGTGTTTCATATGGGTAACAATATCTTTGATGTATACTTACATTCTTTAGACCACAAACACTAGCCTGTTAACCCACAGATATGTCAGTTATAGTCTACTTACCAACATATACTTTATTATCGGTATAAAATTTAAACAACTATTTGAAGAAACAAGGAAACAGAGTATACATTGAAAAGCAAGCCTGAAATTACAACACTAGGGAAATTTAAAGGTCATCTGTTGGTAGCTTTTGGTTGCAACTGTGGAGACCTCTGCTTGCCCTGAGAAATAACTAATGGGTGGGGCTCTTGCTAAGCAGTATGACAATTTCACTTTCTCCCTTGCCTACCCTGATTGTTCCAAGAATAAGTCAGGAACCAAGAGGCTTTATTGAGAAGGAGAATTTTATAAGCAATGGTGTGCTGGTGAATAGACTTTCCAAAAAGAAAAGTCCTGATTGCCAATTCCCATGGTATAAATAGTCCCACCATAGCCATTTTCAAGGATGACTATATTTCATAGCCAGAATGTGCAAGTTTTGAAAATATACCAATCAGTTCTTAAGAACAGGGATTCCCTACTGGCTCAGATGGTAAAGAGTCTGCCTGCAATACGGGACACCTGAGTCAGATCCCTGGATCAGGAAGATCCCCTGGAGAAGGAAATGGCAACCCACTCCAGTATTCTTGCCTGGAAAATCCCATGGACAGAGCAGCCTGGTGGGCTACAGTCCATAGGGTCACAAAGAGTTGGACACGACTGAGCAACTTCACTTGCTTATGAGCTAGTGCTGGCCCACTCCATCACACTACTGCTTATAACTCACCAATGATTAACACAGCAAGTTTCCATAAATATATGTCATATAACTTTAATTTCCTGAGAAAATATACAGATGCAAGAGGAACCAGGCATCCAAGTCTTTGGCCCAACAAGTACTCAACAGATTTCATTAAAAAAAAAAAAAACTAAGAAGCACCTTGGCCTCAGGCTTAGTTTGCTCCTAAGCAGACAATACAAATATTTTTAAATTAGCTTTATATGGTGATATTATTAACATATTATAGCTTTTTACAAATATCCATAAATATCTTAAACTGGGTTATCATGTAATCATATTACATACCTTTCAACAAGAACCCGTAAGCAGCTAGTTAATTTTGTAGAGTCCAAAACTTTAGCAGACCATCATTGAATTGAATGCTATTCATTATTTTTGGAACTTAATACATTTAACCAAGACAGGCTTTACAAAGTGAGGGAGGGAGTTTGGTTGAAGTCAGTCCTGAACAACAGCCCATGCTCCTGATTCCAGGTAAGGAAAGGAAAAGAAGTGTTTGAGAAAGGAAGGCACTGGTGTAGCTTCCCTCTATCTGCCAAGGGACTATATACCCCTTGAAGATCTAATCTGCTAAACTTTATAGACATCCAGCATGAGAGCAGAAACACCACCCTAAAGCTAAAATAATGTGATACAGTGGGAAGCCCCAAGGCCCCTTGTTAATCCCTCGTTCTGTGGGGTGAAGCAAGTTACCTATGGTCCACCTGCCTCCATATTCTCAATGTTAAAATTGTGCCAAAATATCTGCCCTGTTAACTTTCTAGAGTTGCCATATGATATATGAAAGTACTTTGCAAACTGCCTAGCTAGCTAAAAATACAGAATCATGACATGAAAAAATACAGTACTGGTAATATCAATTTCTATGGTTAAATCTTATGATTAGTAATGATTACTCTTTCTTTACCATCGGCCATGTTTAGGCACATAGACAAACAAGTTCTCATGAAGCCCTATGTAAAGGTTCAGAATGACCCTTTTGACCAGCTGTTTTTATAAAGCACCAAGCATCCTGAGTGTGATTAAATTAAGAAAAATTCCCGAATAAAGTGCATCCCATTCTAATGCCACCTGTGTCTCTGTCCCAATAGTTCTCCAGAGGTGTCTCTGTCCCCTCATGCCATCAGATGTAAAGTGGGGTATTGCTGGCATAGCAGTGGCCACCCTCCAAGTCTGACTACTATTTTATTAGGAGGGTCTCAGAAGATAGGAATATGGGAAGAATGAAGTCAAGCAATCCACAGTCCAAGAATATGAGAACAAGGGCAGGTTACTGCCCTGGATCTTTTCTGCATATAAGACAAGACTTCATTTTTCTACCCAGAGATTCAAGGGTTAGACAAAGACACTTGGAGAAGATTCTGTCCTCTAGCCACCCATATTCATTTCATGAACTAATAAAACTGTCTTTGCTGATCTAACATCAAGGGTTACCAAATGTCTTTTGTCCTTCTTCTGAGTCTCATTCAGATAGGCATGAGAAAAGAAAATTCACATGCAAGGAGTTCTGTTTCTGTTGATTTGTATACTCAGAAGAACTGTAGAGACTGAAAATCTTCCTTGTCCAGCCTATGCACTGATGTCTCTGCAAGTGCCAACGAAGACAAGGAGACTGAATCAAGTCTCTAGGAGATGAATTGGGAATTTGCAAGTAGAAAGATCCCCCAATATGTCTTATTTTTCAGAATCTGATGCTCAGCATTGAATATCAAGTCTATTACATCTCCAGCGTGGAATTCGTAAGCCCCTCCTACATTCTGGATCGTAGAGTTGTTGGTTAGAGCTTGTATGGGGTCTTCATTCTTACGCAGCTGCACCTCAAAAGGAGCTCGTCCCTTGTAGGCTGTATTGGGAGCTACTTGGCCATAAATTAAATATAAACCATTCTGAAGTATCTTCAGCCTCCAGTCAGCTGTCTTATTCACACAAGAAGGTTCAGGAGAGGGCATTTGCCATTTTGAAGGTAATGGTCCTACAAGATATTTATAAGGGTGGCGGAGGGGGCGGGGAGGGAGAAAAAAATAGCAAAGCATAGTTATTTAATTATTTCATCATCTTCATGATTATAGTTCTTTTCTATTTATAGGAAAGGTCTATACTAGTTCTCTCCAAACCCAATTTCAAGTATCTCCCACTCCATACTTTGAAGAAATTGCCTAAGTTTCTCTCTTGCTTGGAGGGCTCTAGGAAAATAAGTTTGGAATAGGGAAATGGGTTAAGTTTTAGGTGGCACTGTATCACTTGTCAATCGATATTTGTGAAGTAAAAAGAAGAAGAAAGGAATGACACACTAGGATGGTGATGACCAGAGTTGGCAGTCCAGGAATGCATATTCATGTTTTTCTGTATCAATACTATATACTATGTATCACTTTATCAATGAGGCCTGCACATCAATCTGTTTAAAATAGTGCTCTCCTGTCACTCTCTCTATCTTGTTTTAGTTTTCTTCATAGAAGTTGTCACCATCTAGCCTATTATAAATTACGTTGTGTATTATCAATCTTATAACATATTTGAGGACAAAGGAAAAGTGAGTTTGCTCAGTCGTGTCCAACTCTTTGCAACCCCATGGACTGTAGCCTACCAGGCTCCTCCATCCATGGGATTTTCCAGGCAAGAATACTGGAGTTGGTTGCCATTTCCTTCTCCAGAGGATCTTCCCCACCCAGGGATTGAACCCAGGTCCCCTGCATTGTAGGCAGATGCTTTACCATCTGAGCCACCAGGGAAATCAAATACTCCTTTATTTTGTCCATAGCTGTATCTTCAGCACCAAAAGGAGTTCCTACTACCCAGTATATGCTGAATTAGGTGTATTGTGTCTAAATAATGGTGCTTCAGCTTATGGGTATGTGTCATTCAAGATTCACTTGAGATACCATTATCCAAATCCTCACCAAATAGCTACTGGTAAATTAATGAGTTAATACATGGAAATTATTTGACTGTTTAAATAGAAGTATCCCTAGGTTATTGCTATCACAGGGGATGTGAAAAGGATCAAGACTTTGGTATTTATGGAATTTACATATTTTCCTAATGTTCATTGTTTTTACACAATGATGTAATTTCAGAATCCCAGAATATGCAATACTTATCTGGCATGTTCTCTAACGTTATATAATTTTTGTAATGGGGGCAAAGCCTTTGTCAAATAATTAGAAAGAAACCTTGATAAAAAATATATACTAAAAGAGATAACACATTGGCTTAAATTCTTCTTTATGTATAAATAACTGATATAAGGCTTGAAGGAGAATGAAGGAGAGATCATTAAAGCCGAAAGCAAAGTCTCCCTGTTTCTCCACTAAATCCAGAGCCCAGTAAATTTCTTCCTGCTTGACCATGTAATAGGTAATAGGCAAGTCACCAGGAAGAAGTATCACTGGTTTTCATATTTAAATCGATGATAGGGGTCCTCAACTTTAAAGTTGAGTTTCTCAACTTTTACCACAACAAGAAGGTATTTCAAACATACCATGAGAAGTTTCACTCCATTTACTAGAAAAACAACAAATCAAAAAGCCAGAGACAAGTAAAATGAGATTCCCTATCCTAACAAGTCAAGGAAGCCTAGCTGTGCTGTGCAGTAAAACAGGAATTAAAGTTGACTCTAGAAGTGGTCTGCTCTCAGCGGACAATGGGTGTTTGATCTTAAACAAGTAAACAACCCCAAATGTATTCATTTTTAATTTTGTATGTAGACTAAAAAACTACCCAAAGGCTCAACTGTAAACTTTACTGTGTCTTCTAAGCAAGTACCAGGTCACTATAAAGGAAAGTGACTCAGGAGCTAAGAGGAGAGGTAAAAGGAGCAGAGAAGGGACCACTCCCCTCTCATTTCTCATCTTTACACTTGGAAACAAAAATTGCACGCTACACTCACTCTAGTGGACACTAGCAATATGGGAAATGTGAAAAGGTCTCTGAGTCTGTCCCAGGGAAAAGTCGTAGGAATCTGAAACTTGTGCTTATTAAAACAATTAAAAACAGAGCTGAAGCCTCAGCTCCTAGACAACTACAATACATGATTAGCAGTTAAAAACAGTAGCTGTAGGATAACTAAAATAGAATGCATCCTTTCTTAGCGCTGGAGCTTGCCTTTTGCAGCAAATAGAAAAGTAAAAAGGAGGCCTATAAGACAGTTCAGTTCAGTCAGTCGCTCAGTCGTATCTGACTCTGTGCAACCCCATGGACTGCAGCATACGAGGCCTCCCTGTCCATCACCAACTCCCAGAATTTACTCAAACTTGTCCATTGAGTCAGTGATGCCATCCAACCATCTCATCCTCTGAGAGACAGGTTACTCACCAAACTTCGCTACACAGGGTCCCTGGGCAGTCTGTAGGGGAAGAAGAGGAATTGGTCAGGATGGTGACAGTGTCACAGTTTTCTTGATTATTTAGAGGCTCGGATTCCTGAAGCAGACTTCTCTGCCCTAACCACATTAAAAAAATAAAAAAATCCCTCCCTCCACCCTGTTTTGCATCTCTCTGCTTTCCTTTACAGATGAATGGCTCCTTCCTCTACCTTTCATTACACAGCTAGGTCTTCAGTACACAGCTTGGGTCTTCTAGGAAGAAGTTAAGAACTCCTTCTACCCACCTAATCTCCACCTACAGAACAACTATTTGATCTTGGATGCTCCTCCTCTTGGGCTATAGAAATTTTCTATGTCTCTGTACCCCAGTGACTGCATAAGATGATCCACTGGCATGTGAGAAGAAACTAACAATTTCCATTTATATTTATTTTAAATAAAAGATTAAGCTATAGAAATATTTATTAATATTTCAGAGTGATAATCATGCATCACACTTAGTAACTGAGGAGATCTGTTTCAAAATCTTGTGACACAAATTACATGCCACAGGAAGCTATCAGTGTGGTTGATTTTATAAATACAGATATTTTAATACTAAAGGCTTTAAGATACTTAGTAGTAAGATAAGGTATAGCCACAAACATTTGGGGGGAGGGGCATGGTTCATTGGTTTCCTTGCAGCAAACTGCTTAAGAGACTTTTGAGCTTAAACAGGATGCCAACTTTTTTATAGGATTTCTCTGGCTGCTATGCTAGGAATACATTAAAGAGTGGCAAGAGAAAAAGCAGTGAGACAAGGTAAGAGATCAGTGTAAGCATCTAGGTAAGAAAGCATGGTGCCTCTGACCAAGGTACTAGCTGTGCAGATGGTGGTAAGTGATTGGAAATTGAGTGAACAGGAGTTCCTGACATGGACATGAATGAGAAAAGGAGACAAAGATGACACCAAAATCTGGGCCTGAGCAATTAGAAAGATAACACTGTTAATGACTGAAATGAGCAAGATTTAAGAGGAATAAATTGAGGGAAAAGAATCATGAGTTCATTTTTTGGACATGTCAGGTTTGTGATGAGTATTAGATACCCAGGTAGGAGTGTCAAGAAGGCAATTGGATCTATAAAGATGGAATTTAAGGAGTTCTAAAAAAAAAAAAAACATTAATTTAGCAGTCTTCAGCTTCTGCATGGTGAGTTAAGATATGAGTCTATATAAGAGCATCAAATCAGTGATTATAGATAGGAAAGAGTATTGGGATATTGCAGTGTGTAGGGGTCAGGGAATAAGAAAGAACCCACAAAGGAGACTCAGAAGGAAAGGCCACCTTGGTAAGGATTTTAATTATGAACTATGGAATTTAAGTTATCTAAGGAAGGGAAAAAAAATGATGAATGGAGTGAGGGACTACTAAGTTATTTAAAAAGGAACTTTGCACTATTGAATGATGAACTTAAAATTTAGTGTCATAACATGGTACACATACTCAAAGATCCAGTCTTCCATTTTGATCTATATTTCTTCATGAGGTGATTTTTCAGTTATGACAGTCAAGACCATGAATCAAGGTAAATTAACTTAAACTATAACTTTCAATTTCTTGTATTAAAAAGTGTTAAGCTAAGATTAAGAAAATAAAAGAAACATTTATCAAATTACTATAATACTATTTCAATTGTTTAAGAAATGTTTATATTATATAATTGCCTATTATACAAGTACAATATTTTGGTAAAAGCAAAACATTTTTGCACTGTGAATAAATCACATTAAGCATATTTCTTGGTTTATCCTTATAAATTTATGTTGTGTATCTTTTTAATACACAAAATATTAGAACCTGTATAAGACTTAGCAGTTAGCATACATATTGGGATTGTAGTCAATAACATTTTGTTGATAGAGTTTCTTAGAAGACATGCTGAAATATCATTTTGTTTAACCCATGTGATAGGAACTCCCTTAATTTCAATTTTCTCATTTATAAAATGGGGAAAATAGCAGTACCTAGTCCATTTAGGTTGTTTATGGGTTTAAATGAGTTAAGTCTCATAAAGGATTTTGCCCAGATATTCTGTCTTGTCCTGCTTATTAAGTATTAGTGTTTTGATGATGATGTTGATTATAATGAAGAATGAAACAAAACTTTATGTACCTATACATTATACTAGCATTGTAAGCAAGAGAAACTAATGTCATCTATGATCATTGCTTCTTAAGAAGTTTATCACCTTTCTAGAAAGACACATATCAACACATGAAGCAATTGAGTAACAAGCTAAATATAAAATCATGCCCAAAAATGTGCCATTGATAACATCTGTGTTGTCTACTCTCATGTATAGAGTGTGCGAAGAAACCTAAGGCCACACACAAATTAATTGCCAGAGACAGAAATCTTGGATACTGCATTGTGGGCTGCTGTAATGTCCATTTAGAACTACAGAAACCACCACTGTGATATTATGTCATTATTGTCACAAGTGAAAATCTGTCTAATCACTAAAATCCTCTATTTGGCAGTAAGACACACTCTTTGGTTGAGGCAGTAGAATAGATTAGCAAGGAATACCCATTTTGTTAAGTCTTTATCTTCACTGTAAAGTCATTAATGATATAAATATGAATCACTACTATCTACTAAATGCCTATTATGGTTCAGGATTGTACTGTCTCTTAATTCTTACTACAACTCTATGAGATGACATGTTCATTTGCAGAAGAGGAAATGAGAAGTAGGAGGATTATGTAACTAGCCCAAGGTCACGCAGCTGAAAAAAGGCCAGGCTGAGATCCAAACAGCCTATCTGAGTCAAAATCTCACCCCTACCGCTCCAGAGCAGTTTGTATTTCTAATCCTGGTGATGTTTGGAAGGAGTAAATATCCACTTATAAAGCAGTATATGAGTCCTGTTTAGTTAATTCATTTTTGCTTAGAAGGATCATTGGCTCTTGTAACCCCATTTTGATTTAAGCTCAGATTTATGTAATTGGGTTAATAAGTAAGCTTAATAACTATTTCTCCAAACCAACTCTAATCAAATCATCATTTGGAAATAGAATCTACTCTGCTTTTAAGTACACACAAAACTTCCCCTTTTGAAAGTATCCTTTGTTTCACTGAAGCAGGGGACTCTCCTGAACATTTGGTTTCTTTTTTTTTTTGGCTGTGAAGGTATTTTTTATTTTTTAATTAATTAATTTATTTTAATTGGAGGCTAATTACTTGACAATATTGTAGTGGTTTTTGCCATACATTGACATGAATCAGCCATGGGTGTACTTGTGTTCCCCATCCTGAACCCCCCTCCCACCTCCCTCCCCATCCCATCCCTAAGGGTCATCCCAGTGCACCAGCCCTGAGCACCCTGTCTCATGCATCGAACCTGGACTGGTGAACATTTGGTTTCTTAAGAGAGAATTTCTGTGAAGTTATTTTCATGTAGGGTGGGGAACCATCTCCTTGGGCTCATAACTGATTCTTTCAGTGAGATGTCTTCTGAAAGAAAGGGAAGAAAGAAAAAAAGAATCCTCCCATGGAAACTTCTGTTGGTCTAAAAAGATCTGAGTCTTCCTGTCTAACACTTTTTGAATTAGTGCCTAGAGAGGCTGGAAAGTGGGATTTTGTATACAATAACCAGAGTGGAGACTAAAACAATGTAAACTCCAAGGTCATGGAGCATTATAAGGAGGTGGAAGTGGCTACCTCATAATGACTCATCACCCACAGTCATTCGGTCTTCTTTTCCAAAAATACTAATCTGTGGTCAATAGGGAAAGAGAAGTGCAGGAAAGTGGAATATGGGAGCTAATATTGTACCATCAGCCAGTCATTGGCTTTTCCCATGGGAACAAAGCTTCCATGGCACCCTGTCAGGACAATATCCTGAAAACTTTTCAAAATTCCCCAAATTTGGAACAAACTCTGGGCTGTTTCTTTAGAGGCAGAATCTTTCATTGGGTAGCTGCAAGTTGTCTAGGAGAGGGAATCCCAGAAATAAGAGCTCAGACACAGGGGATTCATCAAGTTCAATGTTGGCAAGAGGTGTCCTAAATGCCTCTGGGGGTATGAGACCTCCTCCTTCCCTTTGCAAGAGCAGCTGTGTGCCTCTGAGAAAGGCACTTCTCTTCTCTCCCAGGCACTGAGTCCCCAATCACATGCAGGAACTGATGACAAAGGAAACCTACCCTATGTTTTTCAATGTCACCAGGCTAATAGGATGTGCAGTGGTTTTGAGAAGGAAAAGGCACTTACAAATTTAAGTTGTTGCTATTCTCACCCTTCCCTTTCTTCAGAAATTGAAACAAAGAATTCCTAACAATTTTTTTTTCTTCCTGCTCAAAGCTTAACTGTCCAGAGAGTTCAGAGGTCTGCTTGGAACATTCCTTGAGACAGTGGGGGATGTGGTCACAAATTCCTCTCTCATACACCATTGTGTACAGTTATAAAATACAAACTAATTGTCTACTGTATAAAAACTTGGCCAAAGCTCTGCTTGCCCTAGATTAACATCAGCATCTTCTCTACTGTTTCCTCCTGTGTCTTTTCTCAATTTTTTTTTTCCATTTATTTTTATTAGTTGGAGGCTAATTACTTCACAATATTGTAGTGGTTTTTGCCATACATTGACATGAATCAGGCATGAATTTACATGTGTTCCCCATCCCAATCCCCCCTCCCACCTCCCTCTCCATCCCATCCCTCTGGGTCTTCCCAGTGCACCAGCCCTGAGCACTTGTCTCATGCATCCAACCTGAGCTGGTGGTCTGTTTCACCCTTGATAGTATACTTGTTTCAATGCTGTTCTCTCAGAACATCCCACACTCGCCTTCTCCCAGAGTCCAAAAGTCTTCTGTACATCTGTGTCTCTTTTTCTCTCAATTGCTTTCAAATATCTTTAGTGGTAGAACCATGTCTTTGAAATCTTAACTGGTCAACCTGTCCCTTAGAAAAATTTTTCTGCAGTCACTGGTTTCAGATGTACCCAGGAATTGGCTAAATCCTAAATTAAATAAGGCATTTATTTTCTTTCTGATCAGCACTGTGTAAACAACAGTCAGAAAAAACTTCTACTAAGAATCTAATGAATCTCCATTCCCTTCACTAGACCCAAAATTTGGAGTGGAACTCAGTGGGAAATTCCTGATAAGCATCAGGGGTTTCCCAAAAAAGAAAGTACTTCCTCCTCCCTCCATGAAGCCTTCCCTGATCAATGTAGACCTAAGTCATTGCCCCCCTCTTGACTCCCTTTATGTTCTATACCACCCTTAGATAAATTATTAATCACTGTATTTTATAGCTAGAAGGGACATGATGATGAACAAATCCATTTCCCTACCACCATTTTTCAGATGAAGAAACTGAGAACCAGAAAGATTAGATGTCTTTCAAATGCATACAACTAGTTATTGAGAGACCTAAACCCAGAATTCGCATCTTCTTACTCCCAGTTCAGTGCTTTTCTCTTCTGAAAGATAGACTACACCATCTATTACTTACCTCACATGTCTCTTTCTTCAAAGCTCTAACAATATTGAGTGACAATGCTAACAACTAGACTTAACAAAAGAAAAGAGGAGTACAATAGATTGTAACCTTAGACTCTGTTGTCTCCTTACCTTGAGTGGAAGAAAAGTAAAGATTAGTGCACTGAAGGAGCAAAGTAATAGCAAAACAATGACTGTCGAGTAGAGGAGCCACTTCTTCCAGGATGGTCTCTGTGCTCCTTGAGGACGTGAATGGCCTAAAGGCATATTCTCCATGTGGCTCAAACTCATTCTCTGCAGGAATGAGAGCTGTGGAAAGCAGAAATTCACAAGTGATGAGCCCATGGTGCTGCTTGTCAGTTTTGTAGAATAGTATGCTAATTAGTAGTGGGTGTAAGAGGCGGGGTTTTCCTCCTGATGCGGTGTGTTGGAAAATGATACTTCCAGGCTAAGTGCTGACTCTCACTTGGCACTAGGCCCAATGCACAGGGCTAAAAGCCAGTACAAACACAGAGGATTAAAAGAAGAAAACCAGGGAAGTTAAAAGGGGAAAATATTATTTCCTAAAGCCAGAACAACTACGGAACTGGGCAGTATTACAAATTATTTCCAGATAATTACTTTTTGTAAGGAAAAAATAAAGTTCAAGATTAAGCCCTATTATACTCCAAATGTATATGTGTGAGGCAGTAGATTAGGGAGTCTGGGATGCATGGTTTGGAAAAAATAGTTTCATGGATTTCTAGGGCATAAAATGTGTTCATTCAAAGATAGTCTCTAGAAAAACACCAAGTGTATTACTAGAATTTAATTTTTAAAATGTCAATACATCAAGCTTAATTCTTTTATACCTCACCATTTTGAAACAAAATTCAATGCTGGCATGAAACAGAAATCAAATTATCATAAAAAGATATTTTCTTGCACCCTATCCTCCAGTCTGAGCTTACACTCTATTCCAAAAACCTGAAGCTTTCAACCTGGAATCAAAAATATTGATTTATTGCAAAATTGAGGAAGTCTCCTGGTTCTCTGTACTCAGTCTTTCCATCTGTTATATGGAATACCTGCCTTCTCCCCTCACCTCCCCACCCCCATACACACACATAACATCAGAATTATGTGCTAGAAAGAACAAGGGTTTTTAAGACAGGCCTGAGAGAGGAAGCTCTTATCTGCTCAGTGGCCATCAGCATATTCTTCATTTCCTTCATGGTAAAATGGAGAAAATTTCCACTCCATAAGGCTTTTCTGAGAATGAAAGAGATGTAAAGTTTTGGCTAAGAAGTGTTCCATAAGTGCTTCTCTCTTCACCCTTCTGAGAGATGTCAAGACTGAATCAATTATGAAATCCTAGAAAAGAATGATTTTTTAAATATTTACCATAGGGTGTAATTCATCTGATGTTCTTTCAAATAAAAGTAGGTAAAAAATATTTTGAAGAAAAAATTTCTAAGAATCAAAGTTTTTTTTTTTTTTTAATTAGGGGAAAAGCCTATTGAACATCCTCATTTCTGAAAGAGGATGCTAAGGATAAGAGAACTTGAAGACTTCCCTGGCGGTACAGTGGATAAGGGAGAAGGAAATGACAACCCACTCCAGTATTCTTGCTTGGAAAATCACATGAATGGAGGAGCCTAGCAGCCTACAGCCCACGGAGTTGCAAAGAGAAGGACACGACTGAGCGACTAACACATACGGTGGATAAGAACCCACCTGCCAATGCAGGGTACATGGGTTTAATCCCTGGTCTGGGAAGATTCCACACGCTGCAGAGTGGCTAAAGCCTCTGTGCTGCCGCTACTGTGCTCCACACCGTAGAGCCTGGGAGCAGCAACTACTGAAGCCTGCGTGCCCAGAGCCCAGCTCCACAACAAGAGAAACTACTGCAATGAGAAAACTGTGTACCACAAAGAGTAGCCCCTGGTCGCCACAACTAGAGAAAACCAGCGTTTAGCAACAAAGACCCAGCACAACCAAAAACTAAATAAATTTAAAAAGAAAAATACTTTGAGAGATGTATCACACCATTAATGACTGGGTGCCAGTGGAGTGGGGACCTGGGCCTAGAGATACTGTCTTGTAACCCCCCCCCCCTTTTTTTTAGTACCACATTAATTGCAGCAATATTTCTCACAGAATTATCAAATTTAACTTGGCCCAGATATCTCTGAAGAAAAGAGTCACAGAGTCACATGGGAATAATTTTTCAATACTGCAATGTTTTGTGGCTCTGTCTTGGATGCTGTGATTCAGAGACAAATGATAAACTGACTCTAGAAGAAGTTGATGCAACTCTTCTCTTTATCATGTCTGAAAGGCATAAACATCAGCACAGAATTTAAAATTGACTACTGAAAAGGCAGACTATTTCCCTTCTGCTTCTCTGATTTGTTCCTTCTCCTGATTCCTCTTCAAATTTTAGTTGGAACTGCCTCTGCTTACTCAATTCAGTAAATATTTCCTTAAATGAGGAACTGTTTCAAATATAATCCAGCTCCTTCTGCCCTTAACCAGGATTAGGCTGTCAAATATCCTGACTATTTCAACCTTCTGAACATATCTTTAAAATATGACATGCTTATCTCAAGAAGAATGTATTCCAGCACTAGGAACTATGCTCAATACCTTGTAATAAACTATAATAGAAGAGAATGTAAAAACAATGGAATATAAATATTTGTATATATGTGTGTAATTGAATCACTTTATTGTATAGCTGAAACAACACAACATTGTAAATCAACTATATTTCAATGTGGTTTTTTAAATAAAGAAATTAAACTTTGAACCAAGAAAAGAGCAAGAGACCTATTAAAAGAAGAGAGATAGAAAGAACTACCCGGTATGGGTAGTTCCATCAACTAATTCCACAGAGGAGAAAATGAGGTCCCGAGAAAGAAAGAGACGTACACAAGGTCACAGAACAAAACAGTGACAGAAATAAAGTAGAATCCAGTTTGCTCCTTCCAAAAGAAAAAAGAATACATTTCAGGACTTCTTTCCACGAAACAGTTTCCAAAATGAAGAACTTTCAGGTTAGGACAAGTGGCAGTAGGGAAGACTTTCAAAACTCTAGAGTAATGAGTCGTCATTGGTACCTTTTTGCTACAAACTCTCAGAATCGACCCCTCAGGATCCTACAAGAAGAAAATGAACACTGAACACATGATGCCTCTGTATTTATGGCCTGTCACTGGCTCAGATACTTGGAATGAATTTTTTAAATTAAGTTCAATTAGCAAATCTATGTTGAATATTTACTCTCAGCCAACTACTGTGCTAAGAGCTTTGAGAAGTATTAAAAAAAAAAAAAAGGCACAGCTGTCAAGTAATTTGCTGCCCAACTGGATTTAAACTGTGCATATAGGGGGACAGAAACCCAAATGAATGCTAAAAGAGCGTCAGCAAACAAAGATCTAAAGGAGCTAAAATAGTTGAGAAGACAGGTTGGAAATTATTGTTTGACCAGAGAAAGGATGGAATTCTTTCTTGAGAGAGTGGTAAAAGTTGAGGTATAAGCATAACATAAATGTTAGACATTTTAAAATGTGAACAAGTGACAAAAGACCAAACTTTTGAATGGATCTGGTAGTCTGATTCAAGAGCTGAAAAAAGGAATTTCAGAAAAACAAGTAAAAAATTTTTTCTATATTTTTCAGAATAGAAACAGCATATAAGTTGCAGTTGATTAAGCAACTTTATATTCGTGGTTCTTTTTAATTCAGAATGAATTAGATACATAGAAACTTGGCTATGGTTCAATCATTGACTGAATCACACTAAAATGAATTGGGCACCTAGGATGTGCCTTCTCTGTTCAGTTACATTAGAGCATCAAGCAGCCCTGTGTTAACGTCACCATATATACAAATAATGAAACTGACATTAGAGAGCATGAATCATTTGCCCACACTGGTAGAACAGGGATTGAATCCCCAGGTGTTAGACTACAAAACACATTTTTCCACTCCTGATGCTGAAGTTTGTCCAGCAGTTGCTGTGTAAACTGAGTGGGATGCATATTGAAATCTGTGAGAGAGTATTATATAGACATCAGATTTCTCCAAGACCCTGTATTGCTGAGGTCTGCACTCCCTACCCCATGCCCTCTATACACCAAGCCATGCTTAGATGCTCATTCATGTCTGATTCTTTGCAACCCCATGGACTGTAACCCACCTACAGTGGACTGTAGCCCACCTACAGTGGACTGTAAGACTGTAGCCCACCTACCCCCTGGACTGGAGCCCAGGCTCCTCTGTCCATGGGGATTCTCCAGGCAAGAATACTGGGGTGGGTTGCCATGTCCTCCTCCAGGGGATCTTCCCAACCCAGGGACTGAACCCAGGTCTCCCACATTGCAGGTGAATTCTTTACCATTTGAGTCACTAGGGAAGCCAGTACTCTACTTACCATGGCTTTATGCTTGTGGTAATGTATGATGTAGCATATTTAGTCAGAAATATTCCATGTGCCAGAATTCACAACTGCACAACTGATTTTGTCTACTTTGGATTTCAGAGTATTCACTGTTGTGACAAATAAGGCCCAGTTGACTTGAAGATACTACATAAATAGATGACTAACTTGTTATTTAGTTGCTAAGTTGTGTCCTATTCTTTTGCAATCCCATGAACTGTTGTCCACCAGGCTCTTCTGTCCATGGGATTTCCCAGGCAAGAATACTGGAGTGAGTTGCCGTTTCCTTCTCCACATAGATGATATATGATAGAAAATAAACAGACATGATACATAAATATGGTTTTAAACTTGGAATTTTATGAAGGCAACAAGTCTCTGTTAAGACTGGTAAATGTCTACTCTGTAAAGAATTCTGTACAGAAGACCTTGATGCTGGGAAAGATTGAAGGCAAAAGAAGAAAGGGGTGGCAGAGGATGAGATGATTGGATGGTATCACTGACTCAGTGGACAAGAATCTGAGCAAACTTTGGGAGATGGTGAAAGACATGGGAGCCAGGCATGCTGCAATCCATGGGGTCACAAATGGTAGGACACAACTGAGCAACTCAACAACAACAACACTACACATAAATAAATACATATGTACCTATAGAAATACATGTTTACATATACATACATATTTACATATTACATGTACAATAAATTCTACAAGATACATATCAATCTCCAGATCATACTCTCTAAGGAACTCATTAACAACTCTAACCAGGGTGACCTAGGAAACAATTTGAATTAAAACTATGTTTTTCTTCCATGACTTGGGGACCCTCTTTTATACCCCATATTGTCTTGTTCTGTGCTGTTTTTACATGTCCATTTTTTTGGAGTCCTTACCAAATTCTTCATTGTTTGTCTATGTTTTACTGACTCAAGTACAGCCTTTAAGCAACAAGTCTATTGACCAATTTCCATGGAAGCCTTTCTGTGCTGGTTTTCTGCCTAAGAGCTATTCTTTGAG